CACAGGAGAGTTGTGCTTAATCTTACTCTCCATCTCAGACCTCTTGTGTGATCTTTTGGGAAGTTACAGGGGAAGGACTTTTTCACTTCTTTTATCAGGGAAAGGTTTGGTGTCTCATTTAACATTGGTTCAGAAAACTTCAATTAAGTGTTCAGACATCCTGTTCAGACAATAGTCTTCTGAAAGAAGACCTGAACTGTATTAAGCACCTGAATTAACATAGGATGAATCGCCTCTCCTTTAGCTTAGATAAGGTGGATGTTAGTCTCTCTCTGATTTTACTTCCTACCTGCAGAGTGCTTTACAGTTTTCTATCAGTAGTGCTTGTATGGTACTCATCAGCTTTAATGGTGTTGCAGATTTTAGCTGCATGATTGATTCGAATTGTTTTGCCCTTCCTAACTATGTCAGCCACACTCCATTTTTCTCTATTAATGTAAGGTAACTCATTTCACACAGTGCATTTGAATCCCAATAAAAGTAGCCATGGGAAAGCCTTTTTTGGTACCGTTCAAAAAATCTCCCCTGCAGTAAAAGAATAGGAAACACAAGCAAAGGACTTGAGAGGTGATGGAGAAACAAATTTGCCTGTGGAAGGAGTGGATTGTTATGAGCAAGAGAAATGAATATCTGTCAGGTCTGAATTAGATCAGACTGTTCTAGCGTTTAATCAACAGAATGGATCCTGCACCTTTTATGGTCCTTTCCAGCCCCATTTTTTAAAGCCTGAATTATTTCTTTTATTTTGAAAATAATGTTTATTAATGGATGCTCTGACTTCTTCCCTTTCTTCAAGTGATACATGTCACACCAGTGAGTTTACTTCAAACTTACGGTTGAAAATAAAAATTGCTCCCATATGTTCAGTAACTACATGTACAGTGCTGCCCTGGTAGAAAATTGGTCAGATATTGATTTAGAAACATAAGGTAAGATTCACTTCACTGAGCTTTATACATCTCACTTTTAGTGATCTAACCCTGAGATAATTGTGCTGGCTCCCTATGTGGTCACTGTAGGCACAGCACTCATAGTGCAGCAGTGCTTTATCAATAGGAGGTAATTTCTTATATTTGCAGGGAACTTTTGGCACTGAAGACAAAAATGTATCATGACTCAGTACCTTACAGACAAAACTGTATTTTATCACCAGAAGCTGCAATTGTAGAATTGGATATGGAGTGGTTTGCTACCCCTCGAGGCAAACCTAGCCATTCTTCCATGAACACTAGCTGCCAGAACTGATGTTACTGCAGCAAGGGTCATCCTGATGGGGGAAATCCAGGACAAAATATTCAGTCTTTTAATGACTCAAATGTAAAGTTCTGCTTAGTCTGGAATCTTTTGCCCACTTGTCTAAGTTCAGTCAATCACAAGTAAATCACAGAATCACAGAATCATAGGGGTTGGAAGGGACCTCCAGAGATCATCGAGTCCAACTCCCCTGCCAAAGCAGGTTCCTTACACCAGGCAGGGAACAAACAAAAAACAAAATCTATTCTGTTCATCATCTGTTAGAGAGAGAAGATGGCAAATGCAACATTAATGGATGCTTTTTATTCAGTTCCTTTAGTGCTCTAATTGTGTGCAAGACTTGGGCTACAAAATGATAGTGACATCCATCAAAGCCAAACTTAGCCTTCCATAAGTTATGCACACTGTCTGAACCAATTGTCTAGACTCACTATATTTTGAGTAGAGACTTCCAGAATGTGGTTAATTCTGTGTTTGAGTAAGCATGTGAAATATATGAGGTTCATCACCTCTGGAGATCCTGTCTTTGTATTAATTATGGAAGTCCTGATCTGTAGCTTTGAAAAACCTAGAATTTGATGACCTAAGCTGTACACTAAACATACAAAGTAATGAATGCTCTGTAACTTTACTTGTGCTGCAGGTTGGAGTTAATGCTATAAACTTCTTTAACTCTTGGAGAAGAAAACTGCAGAAGCTTGAAGTGAATGTAGAATGTGGAATATTTACTTTATTACCTAACATTTCCCTTGCCCTCCACCCAGTTCCATTTTCAGCATGTCACAAATCATGCTTTTGGGACATAGACCTTTGCCAAAGGAGGAAAAAGCAATGAGGGAAAGGGGTTTTGAAAAAAGTGTTTCAGGATAGAAAATTGAATGTCTAATTCTTCTCTGTTGAATCTGCATCAGATAGGTTTATTATAAATATATATGTATATGTGTATATATATATACTGACAGCGTATCTTCAGTTTGCTCCAAATTCATTAATAACAGTGAAAGAAAAAACAGGGTTCAGTCCTGTTTCTCAGTTTGACTGTAGATTTGGAAAATCCCAATCTTTACCACACCTTACGTCAGCAGGTGTTTAAAAACACTTTAAAGAGAATTTGTCTAGGTCTGTCACTGCAGCATAACTGTACCAATTTAGAAACATAGACCTTTGGCCTTGGAAAAAATGACGCCTGCTATGATGATCCCAGCCTTGCTAAAAAATTCACAAGCTGTGGTACAATCTTACAGCACTCCAGAAGTGTTTGTGCATATCAGCCCCAAAATAACAAGACCCTTTGCTCATTGGAGTCAGCATAGATATGTCCTTCTATATGTCAGGCACGTTATACCTGTATACTCCCCCAGAAATCTCTTGCCTCTAGACATGTCAGACTTCAGTATGTGAGACAATAAGAAAATCCCAGCTGCAAACTCCTTTACTAAACCCCACAGTTATCAAAAGCTGATGATTTTGATTTTGGAATACCTGCTTAGTGGAAATGTAAGCTATAGACCAATGGAGAAAACAGAAGACATCCTCTCTCCCTTCCTTAACTCCTTTCCCAAAAAAAAAGTCTTTTGAAATATTTCCCTGCTATTGCTTAAAAATTATCCAAAGTACTGTAGATTTGAATGTCAGCAAATAATTAGTAGATAGAATTACAAGCAGAAAGCAAATATCCAAGTGACACATAAACAGAGTAAGATTCCTGGGTGTCCACTGCCTGTGGATATTGTGTTAGGAGGTGGGTACTGAATCAGAAAGACTTGTAAGAGAAAGATAAGGACAGTGAAGAACTCAGGGTGTTGTAATACTATGCAGAAAGAAAGAGGTAAAGAGTTCAGTTTTTTCTAATGATAAAAAAAAACCTAAATGCTAGAACATCAGCTTGTTGACAACTCCTGCAAGTGGGTGTGGAAGCTTGGTAAATTGGAATTAGGAGAAGAATCTGGATGGTTGCCCAAGGCCATCTTACTAGAGTGTGCTAGAAGAGGCAAGCAAGTCACTAATCTTACTATTCAGGAAAAACTTGGAAACGCGATTGGTGGAAGTTTGGCTTAATGGGTTATATCAGCTAAGCATATCGTATTCGGTATAGTATATCAGATGTCATTAGGCATCTGATATTTTCTCCATTGTAGTAGTATAAATAATTTTCTCTTACAGTACTCAGAGATCTTTGCTAGCATACAGACATTTAGATTAAGTAACATATCTCATTCACTAAATTAGGTGTGAAATGGCTTAAGGATAAATGATTGGAATAGTGTGTCTGTTATACTGTACATTATAGGCATATAAAAAAGATGTGGGAAAAGAATAAGTTGAATTAAAAAACTGGAGGGAGAGAACTGTGGGTTACAGAATATTCTTCTGTTTCATGATTGACAATGTTTGAATAAGAAATAAGAATCTCTTCTGACCCTGAGCCAGGGGTTGGACTTGATGATCCTTATAGGTCTCTTCCAACCTGGGATACTCTATGATTAATTTTTACAAGCTAACTGCTGGTTAGTCCCTGTCTTTCACAGGGCAGTTTTCATGGAAAGTTGCATATGCAGAGAAAAGCAATGAGCAGCAGTTACAATGTTCAGTAAATCAACATTGCCAGTGAGGTTGCAGAACATTAGAGTTATTTCTTTTAATGTAAAACTACTGAAGACAATTCAGCTGTTTAGCTAGAGGATCAAAAAGTTAAGCAGTTTAAAGTTCTGCAAGTCCAACCATTAAAATTCTTAGTGCAAAATTTGTAGGTTAGATATAAATAAAAGGAAGTCTATTTTATTTTATTTTATTTTATTTTATTTATTTTTGTGAGTGGAGAAAATACTTTAGACAAGCACTCTTCTATAGTCAGTGGATGTTTATACCTCAAAGAAATCACTGTGATGTTCTTTTGCCTTTCAGTTTAGCTATTGACATGGTGTCTTGCTTGAATGGTAACTGTTCTCCATTGGAAAAATGTGTATGAATTGTCCAGACTTTTCAAGAAGAATAGTTAGCAGTCCTAAACATTTGTATGGCTTCCACTCTTAATACTTTAAGTCAGTGACATTTTGGAACTTAGACATCATTACATCATTATCAGAATCAATTTCCTACTTGTAAAGTTGTTCTGACTTCTGGAGTCCAAGAATAAATTACTACAGCTCCTTTGTTTTTCAGGTTTTGCTATTGTTTTTGTGTTTGGTTTTTTTTTTTTTTTCCTTATTAAAAATCATTTGTCTTTTAGTTTTCTGGAAACACATATGTTCTGTTACCCTGGAGGCTTAGAAAGATGTTTGTATACTTGTGGTTATACATGCCACAACTGTTTTTAAAATCCCAACATTGATCTAGTGTGTGTGTGTGTGTGTATATATATATATATATTCAGATATGAATTTATATGCACATTCAATTGCACTTGAGTTTAAGGTTATTTCTGAGTTTCAGGACTGAAAGACCAATTTCTTAAGATAAGCATGTTTCAGTTAAAATGCATCTTGTGAGATAGTAGGTCAGAAACTGATTTCTCTTAAGAAAAAGGACACATGATGTTGGGACTCGGTGACCCTCATCCTTAAGAAAATGTCAGATGTTTTCCATCCTGATAGAATGTGCATGAGCAGACAGAATTCAGGCAGGTAAAATGAAAATTAATGTCCCCTGTTAGTGTGAAAAGAGAATGACTAAAAAAAAAGATCAAAAATAGAATCAAAGTGAAAAAGAAAATTTTATAATTTTTCTGACCTCTTTTTTTTCCATAGATGCAATATAAGGAATATATCAGCTTGGTAAAAGATTTCTGTGCATGGAAGGTAAATTCCCAATCATTTTATTTAATAGGGAGAATTCTAAATAGGGCGTGAAATTGTCTAGCTCTGGAAGTTATGTATGTGCTCAGTAAACATTACAGTGAATATAGTGCAAGAAGGGAACACAAGGCCAGGAGGGACTCGTTTTCTTCATACATACAATAGTTTGGTATTTCATTTCACACATAATTTAGTATTTCCCTGGAAGGAGAAATGAGCCCCTTAACACAAGTGAAAAATGAGTGTACAGATGGACTTAGTATAGTCTAAATCATTACACGTGGTTTGAACTTCAATAAAGGAAAGGAAATTTGTCTAGAGCAAAGACAGAACTCAGGTTAAGCAACGTTTTTTTCTGGCTGTTTTGAGTAATTGCTTAGGTTAAGAGACTAAGAATCACAGATTAAAACCAGCTAAAGATTTTTAAGGCACTTTTGAGAATTTGATGATTTCTGCCACTGGAAATGAGTGTAGTTAGGTGCTTAGCTGCTTCTTGGCTGGGTTAGAAGCTCTCTTCAAGTATATATTTTGACTGCCAGTAAGTTGGGTTCTTGTCCCTTTTTTTTTTTTTTACCTATTTAACTAATACTAAATGGTGAGTCCCAGTAAGCATACATGTTACCATTAGCACTGGAAAACTACAAACTACCATTGAAAACTGAATGTAATTGAAGCCACTTGAACTCTGGAAATCTTAAGAGGATGCTGAAATTTGGTCAAAGAGTTTTAAAAGCCCTGGCTGGTGGGTTGTTGTTTTTTTTTACTATAACCTTTGCTGGAGACGAATAACAATCTTTGTTACCTAGGAGGAATATTGACACTTCCTATACATTAACCTTATCATTGTGTGTTCACTTGTACTACCACCAGCCAATACATGACAACTCACTGAGTGAGTGATGTAGTCAAAAATCTTTGAATTTTAGCACAAGGGATAATTTTGTTTTCCTGGGCAGACTGTAAAGTGGAGGTGCTGTGCCTCATCTCAGCCAACAGTGGTGTAGAAAGATGCAGTGCTTTACAGAGGGAGATTTCACTAGAAGTCAGTGGAAATTTCTGTGCTTGATTTGTCAGAAACTGTTACTGATGTGTGCTTTTGAACCAAGAAGCTGTCAGGCTGGAATCTGTATTTCATTTAATGGCTTTGTGAAGACTCTGTAATTTGAACAGAAGAAGCCATCTAGTTTCCTCAGCTACTGGAGATACCACTCTGGTTACTCCATCCATCATTGTTTCTGTAGTGAGATGTTGCAGTTCTAGAGGCAGTAAGTCAGCCTTGGATCAGGATTCAGAGATGCAGCTTCACCAAGCAGCAGCAATGCCGACAGGGCATTATTTCTGTCTCCCTCTGTATCAAGTGTTCTGTTTGGTAAAAATAAGCAACAAGCATGACATAGTCATGTGTTGTGGAAGTCCCACCCAAGGGTTAGGTTTGTACGTTCTGAGGTCTACTGCATTCTGTTGCACGTGACTTTCAGCTTTATCATGGAAATCACAGCCTAAACAGGTATTTTTATGTGTTCATACACTGCAAACTGTTTTAATCAGCTGGCTACACTGAATTAAAAAAAATAGTTTGTTTTTTCTTTTCCTAATTTGTAGAGGTTTCTCACAATGTCTGTATGCATTCCTGGAGAAAGACTGTGCCCTTCTCTCACCAGTGATGCTCCACTATGTGCAATAATAGGCATACGCATAACAGGCAAAGGATGTTCAGCTCACAGTTCAAAGAAAGAAAGCAGATCTGCTTTTCCACCCACTCTACTTCTGGTCCCACCAATGTTTAATTCAAGTAGCCCAGCAAAGAATTCAATACCTATGATTTTGAGAGGATTATTGACAGATCTCTGGTGCTCCAACAATTTCCTCTCTACCTTTCATGTGTTTAAATTTATCTCAAAACTATTTCAGTGGTTGGTGATGTTGGTAAAAGAACTTCGGTATAGTTTAATGAAAATTTTTATTCTGTAATGATTTCCATGTAATATTTTAACACATTTATACTGCAAATAACAGGAGGGCTTCTCTCTTAAGAGAAACCATCAACCACAGTGACTGTCCTTCTAGACAAACAAAATATTAGGCAAGCTATTGTCTGGAACCTACTAAAGAATTGGTTAAAAAAGCCTTTATTTAAATTTATTTGAAAGCCAAACAAGTCATAGGCATGTAAATTCTCACTAGCATGAAAGAAGAAACAACATTTCAGTCTTCTTGTTCCATTCTGATAGTGTAAAAGATCCTGTCACGGAGTTAACTAGATCAATCTATGCCCGTGACAGGGGGCAGTAGGCACATGCAGATTCTTTGTTTAGGTGATTATATGAAAGGATAATTAGACATTCTTCAAATCTATTTGATCATCCTAATTTGAGGTAAAACTGTTTTACTTTGAGGAAAATTATAGCATTTTGGCTTTTTGCTCTGGCTTGGAATATCAACTGATTTTGGAGTTTAGAATTTGCTTCTCAGTAAAAATGTGACTTCCTAATCAGTTGTTCTTCCTCAAAGGCAGGGTAAATAATAATTGGCTTAATTTACAGCACGGAAAATAAGTTTAGGTATTAGGAAAATATTCTTTTGAAACTGGTAGGAAATGCAGGAAAGTGGTAGAGTATCTGGTGACGTGATCTTCTAAAATGTGTTTTTAAAATGTCTGTCCATCCAGATGGAATTAATTCTGTCCTAGATTGAAGAGGACCTAAGGTTCTAAGTGACCTCTTGAAGTCCTTTGCAGCTCTGTATTTCTCTAACTGGCGTCACTGTCATAAATAAGAAAATCAGATTAGAAGGAAAAGTGCATTTACATGTGAGGCCAGAAGGAATTTCAACGAACATTCTCTACTGCTGTTTTGTTGTTGTTGTTGTTGTTTGTTTGTTTGTTTTGGCAGATTTTTCCACTACGCTAATCAAATACACTGGTTTAGCTTTCTTCTTCCTTCTTTCTTCCTCTTACCATCACTTAAAGAACAAGGGAAACAATCAGATTCACAGAGCTGTTTTCTTGGTTAGACATCTGTGTTCCAAGCTCTCTTATGATCAGGAAGTTGATATTGGTAAAACTTATAATTAATTATGCTCCTTCAGGCTGTGATTAATTAAATTGGATCCCCTTTTGTCTTTAGCATGGGCAACAGGGGAATTTGGCTTTTTAAATTGATGAGTCTTACTTTAATCAAATTCCTAGTGGACAGGCAGTCCTGCTGCCAGACAGTCACACAGGAGCTCACAAAGATCCTGCACTCTTTCAAATTGTTCACCATCCTTCACAAGAAGCAATTCTGGAATGATAATTTGTCAAAAAACATTTATAAAAACACAGCTTGTCCATAGGAAAGAAGTCTTTAAAAATATAATTGTGAACAAAAGCAAGTCAGGAAGGCTTGTCCAACCTGTGTTTCTGTTGAGACAGTGCTAAACAGGACATTCTGCCTCTTTTTATCTGGCAGTCAGGAAGCATATGTGTCATCAATGCTAGGTGTTACTGCAAAGCAGTCAGGAAACCATGTTCTCATGTTCTGTTGAGATGAATGTGATAGAAATTCCACAGCAGCATGAGAAAAATCTTGCATGACTAAAGCACGTCCAGCACTAAAGCTGTCTGGTGATCATTCTTATTGAAAGACTCTGTGGAATAGTCACATCACCTATTCTAAAGTGAAAAGGAAAAAAAAAAAAAAAAAAAGTGTCCCTAAAGACAAGGGAGAATGGATAGCAATGGTATCTTCTGTCAGTAATTGATTCTTCTGTCAGTAGTTAACTAGAGCAGTGGCCTGGTATGACAGCCCTGCATAGAAAAGCAGCCAGTCAAAAGCCTTTCTGACAAGGCTGACAAGGTGGATATGATCTCTGAAAATTGAGTTTAGGATTGACTTCATTGAATGGATAAATGAAAAATGGTAACGGTTGTGCCAGTTCTGTTGTAGTGCAGCTAATTGGACTGAGGAATGCATGGTTTGGGATAAATTCATCTGTCTTGATCACCAATGACTTAAAGGTTGTTCTGTATTTTGTTTTGCAGAGGAAGCTATATCCAGAATTCTTTGGACAGGAAACACTGGACTCAGGTATTTAAATTCTGGCTACATGTACTTTCAAGAACATGTAAGATTGTTTCTGACTTATTTTACCCATGACTATCCAAAGTTTTCTCCCCACAATAAGATTTAAAAAAAAAATACATATACTAAATAAAAAGGTTCAATTAATCTTCACCTGTGACCTGAATCACTGAGACCTACCTAGGGCTGGTCACCTGCAAGAGCCCTAAGTGGGCTTTGGATGTGATTGGTTTTCTCTTTGGGAGATAGACATGCAGACTTCTGTCATACTTTATAAAAAAAGGTCTCTTTTTAAGTGTTTCTTCTACTTAAATTACATGTTCTTACCTTTCCATTAGGAACAATTTTTAGTTCCCATACCTGTTTCTTCTGCACACTCATCAACTTCCAGCAAAATAAGTTCTTGCCTAGTCTGTCTTTTTAAGATCATTTATGCTCAGTTCTGGTACCGTTTGTGTTTGTGTGTATGTGTGTGGGTGAGACAGGCTGGGTACTCCATACATCCAGTTTGCTGCATATCCCTTCTAGCAGATCACAACTTTCCATGCGGTACTGTTCTCTCATTCTTCTGGTTCATAGAAAGCAGTGATTGCCCCTAAATGACCTCATATGTAGTTTGCCATTTTCCTAGTGATGGACATAGAATTGAAAAAAAAGGAACTTTAACAAAATTTTTACCTTTTTAACATTTTCTGGAAAAAAAAAAAACAAAAAACAGCTACTTGGCAAGCAATGAAGGTTTGGGATTGCATTTTATTTTTAAGAAAAGGCAGTTAAGCTCTTCAAAATGCATTAAACAATATATTCCAATGACATTGATGTCAGCACTAATTACTTCACTTCTGTTTCCTGCTTGGGCACCGGTCAAACAATTAACAGGAAATTTGCAGTAGTTCCTCATGGGGTCTTACTTCAATTCACTAAAGTTTAATGAAATTAACATTTTCAGAACTAAGTTGTATTTTATAGTGAGTAAACCTATCACTGCCAAAAAATGAATTTACCACATAACAAAGCAGTACGTTTTTCCACCAGAACATACTTACTGCTCTACTGAAAGCATAATTACAACATTGTTGATTTTTATAGTAAGCTTATATTATAATTAGGGATGTAACATTTGGTGATGATATTTCAATTCTCCTAGGGATTGCTGTTTGACTTGGAAAGATCTCTCTAGATCTGCTTGGCTGCCGCTGCCTATTCTCTCCTGACCTAATTAAATTAAATTGTTAGACTATGTGCTTTGCAAAATAGGAAATTTTTACAGCTCTACTTTTCTTGGGTAAATTACATATGTTTTTTAGAAGTGGAGTCCCAGTTCACCTCACATTGACAGTACTGCTAGAAAGCTGGCTAGCAGCGGTAGAAAGCAGGGAAAATTTGCCATTCCCATGTCCAGGATTTCTAGAGTTAATCTGAAGCCCAAGTGACTGGTTTGTTTTCTCCCAGTGGAAAGAGCATGCATTCTGTTTCTAAACACAAGTAAACTAAAACATTGTTTATTCTCTTTTCTTTGTACAACTGCAGTGATTGATACAAAACACCTCTTTCTTCATCTTGCTCACCCACACATCGGCGTGGCAGCTCTAAGCATAGGCTTTCCACAGATTGCTTCTCTCTTTGCCATATGTGAAGTTGGAATCCCTTCTTCACCTGTTATGTTTAGCACTGATTTTATGTCTTTTAAACTTGGAAATCTTTCTGTAAAGGTCTTTTCAAAATAGCTTTTCTTGTTAAGGCAGCTGTTTGCCCCACTTACTGAAGAAATAATATTGAACATTTCTAGAGAAACAATCTTAGCTCCTAGCAAGTGAGCCCTCTATTTGCATTTTCATTTTTACTGATTGGGTTTTGCTGGTAATAGTTACATGCTAATGAAACTCAATGTAAAATTGACTCAGAACTTGTTCACTGCTTGCAGTATGGATGGAAACATAAACAGAAGTCCTAGAATCAGAGCTGTATAAAAAAACCTATGCGTGGATTTGTCAAAATTAGACAAAATTTACATTCACTACATTGTCTGTAGAGATGGGGACTTTCAGAAAAGAGGAGAAACTTCAGTGTAGTTACTAAACTTGAGGTTTTCTTAATATGGTTTTGGGAGTATGACCCATCCATTCACTGCTTGAAGTCTTCAGTATTTTGTAACCAGAATACAGTTTTATGGTAGTATCTTGATTTGAATTTACTTTTGCATGTGTAGGCTCTTTCCAGCAAAATGTTAGGACATGGTAATGGCCATACTGTGTTCGCTCTTTTGGCATCAGCATGCTGTTTATAACTATCACTAAGCAAGTGTGCATGGAAAAAAAAAAAAAAAAGATTATACAGTGGTATTAGTTATATTTCCTGGGTATGCTCTTCCTGCCAAGGGACTTCTAAGCCAAGTGGTTTTGCACTTCATAGCATCAAAGAATTCCACTACCCTTTATTTGTCCATTTACTCTTAACCCAGAGTAGACATTTAGCCCACCCATACTGCTTTACTGCATTTTGGCAAGACCGTGAGCTACCTGATTCAGCACAGGCTATGTACACCACACTTTTCACCTGCTCTTGCAAAAGTAGTTATTGGGGTCCTTCCAAGAGGGATACATCTACCATTGCTGAGAGCACCCAGCACTGTGGATTCTTGCAGGCCTGTGTGAGCTGGAGTGCACTTCCAAGGAGAACACAGTATTTCCCTCTGGCTCTTTCTGCTCCCCTAGACCTGTGCCAGGGCATTCTCCTGAGTGTAAAGAATATGAATAGCTAATCACTTCCCAAAATGTTACAGCTGGAGCATAAAACTACACAGACCTTGATAGGCAAATGAGAAGCTTAAGCTTCCTGCTGCCAAAAAACATTTATGTTTAGCTGCAGAGTTTGTTTGAATTATGTTAGGCAGAAGGAAGTGCAAGGATATTTTATTTTTAATTAGCAGAAAACTTCTCTCTGTTTGCTAATTGCTGAGCCAAATACTTTCTTTAACACTGTTAGCTCCTAGCACCTTTAAGCTTATTTCTACGTGGCTCTACATATGTACTGGATCTAAACACGAAATGGAAATCTTCAAAAACTCTTCCCCAATATGTTCTCCAAGTTTCTTAGCAGATTCCTTAGATTCCACTGCTAACTTCTTCAACTCAGCAGTTGCTTTGCACATTTCAAAGAAGAGAAAATGAGAGACATCCTCTCATGCACACTGTCCCTCATGCTTCCCCATGGCTTAACGTTATTTTCATATGTATATAAATACCTTCTTATTGACTGGAAAGAGAAAACTGTTGATTGCCCCATAGCATGAATTTTTCATTGAGAAAGGAACACATTCAGGCACTTCAAAACTTATTAAATAATTAATGTGCTTCAGACGTAGTAAAAATCAGAGCTAATTACCAATATCCGCTTAGTGAACCTAGTACACTTGGGCAGGGAATCAAGGTCACCATTTGTATTTTCTTATTCTAGAAATACTAATGATTATTTTATAAAACTTAGTGCCCACTTTCAAATAAGAAGCTATCATGCTATTATGAACAGTTTGGAAGATTAAACTTATGTTCAGACAGTGACAGCATCTACATTTTGTAAATTTACAATTTACAAAATGTCTTGCATTTAGCACCAGACATTTTAGGACAGTATTGCATTTAGCACCAGAAGTCTGGATTTTATAGTAGCTTTGGACTGCTACCAGCTCTTTTGTTTTTTTCTTGATTCAAAACTTCACTGAGCTTATACAGTCACAGCAACAACTGGAAACAGCCATCACAAACTAGCAAATGCATAACATGGACTTTTGCAAGTAAGGTCTAAGAAAGCCGGACTAGAAAAACTACAGGGAGGGCAGAGAGATCCTTCAAGGTGATAATCTACATACAGTACTTCTTACTGCATTGATATCTAGCAGGAATTTGTTGAACCTTTCATACTAGTTTCATGTTCATTGTCAGTTTCAGAGTTTTCATCCATGAAGGCTGGAGAAAATCTGCCTGGAACTCTCACTGCAAAGAGTCATAGCCCTGTTCTTAAAGCTAGAAGCATGTCTGGAGATGTATGCAATGGGTGATATTTTATAGATTGGTTTATAAATAAATTCAGAATGATGGCATGTGCTTCAGGCACATGATGTAATTTCCCTGTTGTTTTTAATTTTTTCATGACAACATCACCTGGGAAAATGGAGAATGTAGCTTATTTTGTGTGTATAAGGAAACTGGTTTTAAGATGATACATAATGCAGATCAGATGGAGGAAAATTCTCAGTCCTAAAAACAGGACAGGAGATCAGTATTGACAGTCTGGACCCATCTGGATGAGCTCTGTATCCACAACTGCGTCCTGATACATGACTCATATGTTTCATGAGCTGATGCTGAAAGTTCTAACACATCCTCCTGAAATATCCCCAATGGCATGCAATAAAGGGCAAGTAAAAGGAAAGACTCATGAGTACAGTGGATATAAGGACATACTAGAAATGTTGTGTTTTTTTTGGAGCATAGGTCTTATGAGGCACAGCTGAGGGAACTAGGATTGTTTCTGGAGAAGAGGAGGCTCAGGGGAGACCTTATTGCTTTCTGCAACTCCCTAAAAATAGGTTGTAGCAAGATGGAGGTCAGCCTCTTCTCCCAGGTAACAACAGCAGGACAAGAGGGATTGGCTTCAAGTTGTATCGAGGTTCTCACTGGGTATTAGGAACAATTTTTTCTCATAAAGAGTGGTGATGCACTGAAACAGGCTGCTCAGGGAGGTAGTGGAAGCACCATCCATGGAGGTATTCAGGAAACATGAGGATGGAGCACTGAGGGACATGGTTAATGGACATGGTGAGGATGGGTTGATGTTTGGACTGGATGATCTGAGAGGTCTGTTTCAACCTAAATGATTCTTTGGTTCTATGATTCTAAGTTTTTCAAGTAGATACAACAGCAGAGTTAGCACACCTACTGCTCAGTTGATCCATCATCTTTTCCTTTCTGGAGGTGAGACATGCAGACATGGCTGTGGCAGGAGGA